CGCAAGGGCGACGAGCGCCGGAGCGTGACAGAGCCCACCCCGCCGCCGCCCACCCATCAGCGCGCGCCCCTTACCCGCGCGCCTCGCAGTCTGGGCTTCACGGCTGGGCAGCCCGGGTGGCAGTGGGGTCTTGGTTACCTGTCCTAGGAGGTGCACACGCCTGTGGGCTGGTGCCTGCTGACGCCGACGCCCCCTAGGACCCGAGTTTGCAGACTTTGGGAGCCTCCGGGTGCCGGAGCTGGAGTGGTGAGGGTCGATCTAGACTCTGACAAAGTGGGCAGCTTGACCAGATAGTGCCCAGATCATCCGGGGACACACATGTTCGGGTCTGAGGCTACACAAGTCACAGGAGGCTCTGTGTGGTCTCAGACTGCCCTTTGTGTTCACCAGTGGTAACATGGAGCCACAAGAAGCCACATGCAATCACAGTGTCTCATGAGGACAGACATCATGATCTTCATGCACAACCACACGTGGCACACGCTATCTCAAGAAGCCCCTCATAGCTATAATGAACGGCCGTTTACCCACAGCCATGATGCCCACACTGCTGGGCTGAGGGGCTGGACACCTTCTGTTTCAATGTCTAGGATTGAAGGGAGGGAGCCAAGTCGCACATTTTCTGAAAGAATAGGGGTCGGCATTCTGGGAAGGCCCCCATGGACGCATACACCTGGATTTCAAGGTCACCTTCTCCCAATACTTTTGTTTGTTCTCCCCAAACATGTGGCCCACCAGGTCTCCAGCACCGAGGACAGCGCTCAGGCTGCCCAGCCCTCTCTATACGCAGCCCTCCCAGGCCAAGCACTGGCTGAGAAGAGAGGCCAGTTAGAAGAGGGTAGAACACCAAAGAGCAGAGGTCAGGGAGCAGAGGTGGAAGAGCAGACGTCTCTTCAGATCCACTAGAGACCACCTGCCCTGCGTGCATGTGTGCTCACAGCTAAGCAGATGGGGAGTGAATGTGTGGGGGGTCTGTATCCCTAGTATAAGGAGTGTGTATGCTCAGGCCTGTCTGTGTGCAGCTTATAGTGGTGCAAATGTGCACATGAGTGCCTTTGAGTCGCTTCCAATCTTTACCTTCTTCACTGTCACAAAATCTCAATTCCTGGGAGAGCCGCTCCTGCTTGAACTCAGGCTCAGCCTGACAGGACTCCTCCAAGAAGTGTCATAGAGGCTGTGTGGTAGGATTTCTCCCAGCAAGTGACATGGCTGTCAGAATCACCCCTCACTCCCACTCCCACTGGCCGCAGATTAACTGAAGATCTGCTGGCACTCTGGAGGAGACTCGGAGGGAACCAGAAGACCTGGCAAAAAGAACGCATCGCCCCAGACCAGACTGGACTAGGGAGGTAGGCAGATAATTTCTCTATAGGTCAGGGGCCAACTGAGTGTTTCTTTACAGAGCAGGGGACCCAGGAGCCGGCAGCGAGCCTCAGGCCTGGCCTCCTCTGCGGCACTCAGCTGCAGGAGCACTCCAGGCCCTCATGTGGCTCCTGGCAGCCTCCTCTTCAGAGTGATGTCATGGGACACATTTAGCCTGGCCTCCAGCAGGATGTCGCATCCGGTTACTTTCCCTACAGATGTCTCTGCTACTTGTGAATATTTTAATTCGAAAACCTGCATTGGATCTGTGACTGATTACAGCTGAGCCAAGAATTTTTCTTTTTTCCTCTGAGCATGGCTTGGCTTCTGAGGGATGGGGGCAGGAAGACCCTGACCCTATTTGTGGGATCATGACCAGGTCTCTCTCCTCTCTAGGCTTGTTCTCTCCACTGAGTAAGGGGACTTTCTTTTTCTTGTCCTGGATTTCCAATGTCTTCTTCCCTCTCTTTGGGTCTTCATCTGTGGACTATCTGTGGGCATAGGCAGCTGTGACTCTGAGGCCTCTGGACTGTGTGGGTATGGGTATGACAGCCATGGAACCCAGCAGGAAGGAACCCAGGGCCCAGAGATGTCCACGCCAGGTTGGAGAGCCTTTGGATAGCCCTCTTAGCCAGCAAGCTTAGCCACCATAGTGGCTAGCTCTATTTACACTGATCTCCTCCCAGGCCAGCATCTCTGTTTTCGGCCCTGGCACAGGATCTGACCCAAAGGATGCAGAAAATATTATCCCATTTGACAGAGCAGAAAACAAACCCAGAGAGGAGACCAACTGCCTCAGGTCACACAGTTGTTCTGGGCTCCTGACTCCTAATTATTTATTCTTCATTCATTTACTTTTTCACCAACATGTGTTCTGTGTCTGGCTTCCTCCTGGAGACTAAGGGTGTTGGGGAGACAAATAGGAAGCAGCAATAACAGCGGTTCAGCATGGTGAGTTTATGATGACAGAGTTTATCCTAGCTTATCTCAGGGGAAACCTCCTGTAGGAGAACGTATTTGAGTTGGGCCCTGTATCTTGGGGTAAGAGTTTGCCTGATCCTGTTTGTGGGATCATGACCAGGTCTCTCTCTTCTCTAGGCTTGCTCACTCCACTGAGTAAGGGGACTTGCTCTTTCTTGTCTTGGATTTCCAAGGTTTTCTTCCCTCTCTTTGGTGGGGCAAAGGATACCACCCCTAGTTCTGACTCTGATTCTGTCATGATTTTCAGTCGTGGGAAAGCCTCTGTCTCTTTCTGTTTTCATTGGTACAAGATGGAACCAATCTAGAAGCTTCTGGGTATCAGAAATAATTAGCCATGATTCTGCTGCCTTTTCATCATTGCAGTTGAGTGGTCACCCTCTGGACCTGCAAGATCCAGTGTCCACCCTGTCTAGTCTGCTCGTGGCCATAAGAACCAGCCTTGGATGGGCTCAGTCACTCTGGGCTCAAGTTTTCTGCAATTAGTACATCTGGACTATGCTTCTCTGACTATGGTGGATCCTCTGTTTTTTATAGTTTCTCAACATTTTGGAACACTCGCCTATATTTTTATAGCTTACCACATTAGAAGTACCTCTTTCTGGTAGGATTCAGAAAACTCACTTTTTTAGCTTCCCTTGCAGCTAGGGGTAGACAAGTGACTTAGGCAGTGCCACTGAGACATACTCTCAAGAGCCTTTGATACAAAAGCCAGAAATGAGTGGGAGAAAGTTCTGCACATGGCATCTGTCTTGCTGGCACAAGAATGCCAACAGAAACCATGGATGGTGGATGGTTGTGAGAGTTGTTTCTAAAAGCTGAGGTTGTTTCTTGAGTCACCTCAAAATTTGAGCCTTTTAGAGGTGAGCACATTCTTTAAAGTGCTATTTTCTGCTTAAAATAGTAAGTGCAAATTTTGTTGTCTGCAGCCAAGAACTCAGATGGACCCACTCACTGTCCCATAGCTAAAGGTCTTTCCAGTCTTCTGAAGGGTGTGGCTATAGAGCTGGGCACAGAGCATGATGCATCTCCCATCCCTGTCACTGCATACACTAGGAGATGGAAGTTCTGGCAAATGGGGCTGTATGTTCTGAGTCAGATCTTTGCTTCCCTTTATTCTGACAACCACAAATCTGGAGAAATGAGCCCCAAACTTGAGATCCAGCAAAGAATCCACTCAGGAGAACTACCCCATCTGGAGCAAAGGCCTTGAACACATGAAGGAATGGGCAGAGAATTGCACACAATGTTCAACTGTGTCTTTTTGTTTAATAACAGTGTGTTTTTTCTTAGATTAATAAAACTGTTCAATTTTGGAAAATAAAGAAAAATAGAAAATAAAATCACTTGTAATCTCATCTGCCAATTAGATTGCAATAATAACCAATTTGTGTATTTCCTAATAATAATATTATTATCATCCAACATTTATAATGTGGCAGGCATTATTTCTGAGCACTTTACATATGTGCTATGGACTGAATTGAGTCCCCTCCCCATTCATATGCTAAAGCTGTAATCCTCAGTGTGACTGTATTTAGAGATGGGGCCTTTGAGGAGGTAATTAAGGATAAATTTGGTCATATGGGTGAGGCAGCAGGCCAACAGAACGAGTGTTCTTATAAGAAGAAGAGACACCAGGAATAAAGACTATGTGACCACTAGAAATTGACCTTCCATATGACCCAGCAATTCCCTTATTGGGATTATACCTAGAAGAACTCAAATCATTCTACAAAAAAGATACCTGCACACCTATGTTTGTTGCAGCTCTATTCACAATAGCAAAAACATGGAAGCAACCATGCTGGCCATCGAAGCTGGACTAGATTTTTTTAAATGTGGTACATATATACAATGGAATATTATACAGCCATAAAGAAGGACAAACATATGGACTTCTCAGCAACTTGGATGGATTAAGAGTCGATCATACTCAGTGATCTATCACAGAAACAAAGAACAGAGTTCATATGTTCTCACTCATAAGTGGACCTTGAACAATTATCATAATACTGTAAGAAAGGGATTGGCAGTAGTGGGAAACTGCCAGGGGAAGGGGGATGGGATTGGCAGTTGAGTGAAACTGCTAGGGGAGGGAGGGGCGCACCTCATCAACTAGGGTACCTGCATAATCAAAGTTTGTAGACCTAACCCTGTGGTACCCCACATCTTTAAAATAAAATAAAATTTAATTTAATTTTAAAAAATAACTATGTGACAACTAGAGAGAAGATGGTCATCTGCATGACAAGGAGAGAGCTCAACAGAAATCAACTCTGCTGTCACCTTCATCTTGAGCTTCTAGCCTCCAGAATAGTGAGTAAATAAAATAAAATTCTGTTGTTTAACTGCCAGCTTTGTGGTATTTTGTTATAGAGCTCTAGTAGACTAGTACAACATGCTAACTCATTTAATTCTTACATCAGCTCTGTCTTTTCCCCATGTACAGCACAGCTTAATAAATATTTATTGAAAGAATAAA